TGTGCAAAATTCCAGGTCATTCGGAGGTGATTTGGTTGGGTTTTTGATCGAATGCGTATTTCGGAAGTTTTTGAAGAACTTAGGCTTGAATTCAATGAGAAATGATGGTTTTAGTGTTGTTTGAGGTGTTTTTATGATTGGAACATGTTTTAATGATGTTATAGGATGTGTTGGTGCTTTTGGTTGAGGTCCCGGAGGCCTCGGGTGAGTTTCGGATGGTCAATCGGACCATTTCCTAAGTTAAAAAGCTGCAGATTTCTCATTTCAGGTGTTGCAGAGAATTTACTCTTCGCGTTCGCGTAAAGAGTCACGCGTTCACGAAGAAGGAAATTGGGAGGCAGGTAATTTGCTCTACGCGTTCGCGTTCGAGGGTCCGCGTTCGCGGAAGGCCGGAGGATTGTGCTTCGCGTTCGCACCAGCCTAATCGCGTTCGCGTATAAGGAATAGAGGGCCGGCGATGATTGGCCTTCGCGTTCGCATGAATAAGGTCGCGTTCGCGTATGAGGGGAAGGTTGAGCATCGCGTTCGCTGGGTTAGTCTCGCGTTCGCGTAGGGCTAATTTTGGAAAAATTAAATATTGTGCTTCGCGTTCGCGAGGCAGTAGTCGCGAACGCGATGAAGGATTTCAGGCCTGGGCAGAAGGGTTTTAATAATATTTCATCCGCGAACCAAGTCTTATTTCCACCATTTTTAAGCAACCTTGAGAGCTTTTGGACGGGGATTGAAGAGAGTTTCAACTGGGATCGATTGAAGGTAAGTTTTATGAGTTAAAAATATGATTTTATTGTAGAATCATCCTTGAAATTCATGAGAATATAGCCAAATTGTAAGAAATTAGGGCTTGAGTTTGAAATTCTAAATTTGAGATTTGAGGGGCCATTTGTGGTCCGATTTGAGCGATTTTGGTATGTATAGACTCGTGGCGAGATGAGAAATCCGGTGATGTTAATTTTCTGATTTTTCGAGAAGTGGGCCCGGGGCTCGGGTTTTGCAAATTTTGTGATTATCGATATTTTTCGAGTCTTTTCGATTGGGTTATGTTCCCTTAGCCTATTGTGACGTATTCGTTGTGGTTTTGGTCAGATTCGACGCACGAGGAGGTTAATTCGAAAGGCAAGGGCATAGCAAGCTAGGACTTTGGCCAGCTTGAGGTTAGTAATAAATGTAAATGCTGTGTTGAGGGTCTGAAACCCCGAATTTGCACTATGTAGTGCTATGTGAGGTGACTTGCACGTCGGATAACGGGCTTGGGGTAGAGCACCGTCGGGGATTGTGACTTGGTCCGTCCCGCTTAATAAAATTACTACCTAATTGATTGTAGTTTTTGTGATATCCTTATAAAAACGGATTAATTGTCATAATTGGGCTTCGTGCCAACTACTTGAATCCTTCAGGGATTATTTTTACTGGTTTCTTACCATATTTCTAGATATTGAACTCAGTCCTGGTATTTAACACTGTTTTGTAAACTCAGCCATTTTTTTAAAAGTAGAAACTAAAGTAATATTTTTAAATGAAGTTGGGCTGAATATTTTTATATTATTGTGCCGAAAGGCTTATGTGATTTTGGACTGAGTGTGGGATCGTACTGCACGCCGCAGTGGTATGATATTGATATTGATATGAGGCCGAGGGCCTGTTTGATGCCACGATATGGCTTATTATTGCGCTTGTGCCGTAAGGGGCCCCTCCCGGAGTCTGCACACCCCCAGTGAGCGCCGTCGACATTAAATAAATGGAGCGGGCTGCACGCCGCAGCGGGGTACTGGAGAGTACCGGTTTATGTGTTGCATTGCATATTTTAATTGTCATTTACTCTTTATCTGTTGTGGTATTATTAAAAATTGTCTTTGCTGTTTTACTGTATTTATAGCTTTACCTTGTGTTTATTTGGGATTTCTTATCCTCAGACTTTATTTATATTTATTACTTTCTGGGTTGGAAGTACTCACAATACTCCCTGCACCTTGTGTGCAGATCCAGGTACATCACAGGGTGAGTGAGGATTTGTTTAGCTGAGCAGCAGTATCCGGGAGTATCGAGGTAGCTGCATGGCGTTCGCAACCTTGATCTCTCCCATCTATCTTTATCCTTTTATTCGCATTTTTCCTAGACAGACTTGTGATAGGTGAATATTCTGTATTAGAGGCTCTTGTTCGTGACACCAGATTCTGTGGGCTGATTAGTATTTTTATTTTGAGGTTTCGAATGTTAGAAATTATTTCAGAAACTCCGCATTTTATTTGGTATTTTAGTTGTGAATATTTATTTATCCTCGGTGATTAATCGGTCAAGGTTGTCTAAATGGCCGGGCTTGCCTAGAAGTGTGTTGGACGTCATCACGACCGGGGTTGGGTCGTGACATATTTCTTCTTCTAGGTTCTGCAATTTTTCGACTCGGTCAAGAGACTCAGAAACCCTAGTTTCATTTTTTTGAAATTGCATGTTCCATCTGTCTAATTGACTTGTTTGTGTGCACAATCTAGTGTTAATATGATGAATTCTGAAGTTCCTCTTGCTGCTAGTACCAGTACAACCACTCTATATACACCAGACCCCTCTAGCCCCCTTTTCATACATTCTACTGATATTCCCGGAGCCTGTTTAGTTAGTACTCAGTTTAATGCGTTATGGCGGATGGAAAAGAAGTATGATAGTTTCTTTGTCAGCTAAGAATAAAATAGGTTTTGTGGATGGATCTTGTTCTAGGCCAATGTTTGGCGAAAATTGATGACGTCCAAATCCACTACTAAAAAGTAAATAGACACGATCCCATGCAATATAATTTACCCAACTATGAGTCGGGGTTGAATCCCACAAAGAACAATATGTAGGCGATTAGGCGTGTAAGAGAATTGTCACTTATTATGCTAAGCCAAACACTTAGAAAAGTTTGAGAAAATATTATAACTAAATGCGAAAATAAAAACTAATCTAGAAAGCAAGTAAAATGATCAATGGCTACAAGCATGGATACACGAGAATTACACTCAAGTAACGATCCAATGTATTTCACGATTTTACAAATATGAGCGAGTTTATGTTAATTAGCCTCGGGTAATAATTTTATATTAGCTTCTTCCGAAGACTAACAAGACTTCCTAATTGAACTATCCCTAAAACAATTAAAATATTTAACACAGCCAATTATGGCTACAAGTAGTTCAATCCTATCGCTAGGTAGAATCTATAAAGTGAGGGTTAAAGTCTCAAGTTCTTGTTAACTAATCTTTCCCAACCCCAAATAATCTTTCCCAAAATTAATTTGAAGTTAAAGGGGGAGTCCTAGGGTTAGCTAATTCCTTTGGAAAAATTAAAGAACAAGAATAATTAAAGAAACAATAACTTACTTCATAATAGATAAAAGTCGTTCAATACATAAGCACAACAAGATATTTAATTCACATTTTAAATATGAATATTTTCATAAATAAGATTCAAGTGTTGGAATAAATACTACACACTTAGATATACAATACAAAGCAACAAAATGAAGAAATGAACAAAAATGAGTAAGAAATTCTCAACCAAAAGCTTCAAATCTTCAAGACCCAAGTGTGTGTGCAAGAACTCTAGCTCCAAAACTTGTCTTCTCTAGTCTAAGGACTGAAAATAAGCCAAAGATATGCCAAAGATATTTTACAAATGATCTAGGTTGTGTATTAAAGGGTTTGGGGCCAAAAAGTATAAAATTACAGAAGTACCAAGAACTGAAGCGCGATCTTCGCATTTGCGAACAATGGCTTTCCTGTTGACTATCGCATTTGCGATAAAGGCTTCGCATTTGCCAAGGTTGACTGCCTGGTTTGACTTCGCATTTGCGAAGTCCTTTTTCGCATTTGCGAACCCTTTCTTCTTCGCATTTCCCATATCTATGTCGCAATTGCGACATCCGAGGCCATTTTCCACATTTTCTTCTTTTCAACTTCTTTTTGACTCGTTTTCACTTGGTTTCTTCAAGATCCCTTCTAAATCACATAGAACCTATAATATAGAAGTAAACGATATTAAACACATGATTTTATCACTCAAACATAGCAAAAATCTAAGCTTAAAGACAAGATAAGTTGGTAAAATATCAAATTATCAAGAATCCTGTAATGATTCGTCAATGGGACAGGTGCAACAACATGGTCATTTCCTGGTTAACTAGCTCTCTTTCACCGACCATGACTGAAAGTGTGCAATACTCCGAGTCAGCTGAGAGTAATTGGAAGCAGTTAGAACGTAGGTATAGGACTGTAAATGGAACAAAAATCTTTGAGATAAAAAAGGGAATCGGCCTTTACTCAACAAGGTTCTCTTGATATTGCTTCATATTTTAACAAATTAAAGAAGCTTTAGAGTGAATTGGAAACAATGCGCAAGAATCATGGAAATTCTTATACCCGTGCTGCAAAGCCTGATATTCAAAGGGATGAAGAAGAGGATAAGCTATACCAATTTCTCATGGGGTTAAATGAGGTGTATGTGGGTGTGAGGAGTAACTTACTGATGATGCAACTTCCTCCTTTATTAGACAGTGCTTATAATATTCTTCTTCAAGATGAAAGTCAAAGACAAGTCTAATTCAACCCACAATTAACAACAGAATTTGCATCTTTCAATGCTAATGTGAATGTCAAACAATTTCCACCCAAACAAAACAATCAAAAGATAGATTTTGATCACTCAAGGGAACACATGTTTTGCAAGTATTGCAAGAAACCTGGTTACCTAATTGAGAAATGCTACAAACTCCATGGGTACCCACATAATTTTAAGTTCAACAAGGGGAAGAGGTTAGCTGTAACAGTATCTGCTGAATCTGCTCAATTTCAGCCATGTACAGAAAGTCATGTCCTAGCTCACCTCCCACTGTTCCTATTGTTGGACCTACTGTTGTACCTGATGACAGGGTCTCCTCTATACCTAGTTTGAGTCAACAACAATTCTCTCAACTCATGTCCCTGCTACAGCAGACTTAAATCAGTCATGCTCTTGAGCCTCAATCCAATCTGATGGGATCTGCTAACTTTGCTGTTAGTTTTCTTTCCTTGCCTATTTATACTGATGATGATTCTCATGCTTGCATGTTGTCTAGTGTATGTAGAGATGTATGGAATATAGATAGTGGAGCTACTGATCATATGACTTCCAATAGAGAAATCCTTTCTAATTTGACTCCTCTTCCTACTCCTTACTTGGTGACCTTGCCTAATGGCTGTAAGGAAAAGGTTACTTGTATTGGTTCTTTTACTTTACTTCCATCTTTCACACTTCATCATGTCTTGGACATTCCTTCTTTTCAATATAATCTGATCTCTGTACACAAACATATTCAACAATTTCACTGCCTTGTCTTGTTTACTTCTATCTCATGTATTTTGATACAGAACCTTTCCATGAGGAAGCTTCTGGAACTTGGTAAAATGGACCAAGGACTCTACAAGCTTCTTCATGATCATCAACTCAATATAACATCTAACTTTGTTGTTTCTGTCTTTAGAAATAATGTGCAAGATACCTCCATTTCTGACCATTCTAGTAAGACTACACACAATAAGGCTGCTTTACATACTGTTCCTGTTATATTGTAATGATAAGCAGAGTCTAAATAAAAATGATGTTCTTTGGCATCATAGATTAGTCCATATTCCATTTCTAAAATGAAAACCATCTCTTCTATTTCTGCTGAATTATCTTCCAAGCAATCTTTTATATGCCCTGTATGTCCTCTTGCTAGGCAGGCAAGATTGCCCTTTTCAGCTAGTTCTACTACTTCTGCTACCTTGTTTGAGTTAATTAACATTGACACATAGGGTCCCTACCATACTCAGACTTATTCTGGAGCAAAATACTTTCTTACCATTGTAGATGACCATAATAGAGATACTTGGACTCATTTGTTGCATGCTAAAGTAATGCATTTACTATGTTGAAGGAAGGCTTTCATCTCCATGGTAAAACACAATTTAACCTTTCTGTTAAAACTTTTAGAAGTGATAATGCCCTGGAAATTGGACTTTCCAATTCTGCCTTACAATACTTCTCAGATAATGGAATTATTCATCAAACTACTTGTTCTCACACACCTCAACAAAATTGAATTGTTGAAAGAAAGCACAAGCACTTACTTGAGACAGCTAGAGCCTTGATGTACCATTCTAAGTTACCAACAAAATTTTGGGGAGATTTTATTTTAAAAGACACATATTTAATAAACATATTTCCCTCTACCATCTCACATAACAAATCTCCATTTGAAGTACTTTATGTCAAGTTGCCGTCTTATTCGTGTCTTAAGCCTTTTGGGTGTCTTTGTTGTGCAACTGTGCCCAAATGTGAGAAAAATAAGTTTGATCCAAGAGTTGTACCTTGTTTTTTTATTGGTTATCCATTTGGTAAGAAAGCTTAAAAGTTGTACAACTTATCCACCAAGTGTATCCTTGTCTCCAGGGATGTATTATTTCATGAATCTGTCTTTCCTTTTATGTTGTCTTCTTCTTCTTCTTCTTCTTCTTCTTCTTCTTCTTCTTCTTCTTCTTCTTCTTCTTCTTCTTCTTCTTCTTCTTCTTCTTCTTCTTCTTCTTCTTCTTCCAGCTGCCTTCCCCGCCCTACTTATGTACCTATTTCACCTGCTGTTGGTGATCCTCTTGTATATACTGATCATCCCCATGCCTCTCCTGTTAATACACCTTCTACTTATACACATTCTCCTAATAATCCACCTTCTGTTGATACCTCTCCACACTCTGTACCTTCTGCCTTTCCTCCTAATACTGTTATTCCTTCTTGTCTTTCCTCTATGTTTGCTATTTCAAGCTCTTAGTCTCTCCCTGCACCTAGAAAGAGCAGCAGAAATCACAACCTGTCCTCCCATCTTAGAGATTTTGTTGTGCAACTTCCTCCTTCCATTTTAAGCTCCACTACTTTATCCCTCTCTGCTGCACACACAGCTGAAGCTGAGCCTCATTTTTATTCTCAGACAACTACCATTTTAGTTTGGCAGGAAGCCATGAGAAAAGAATTTGAGGCCTTAAAAGCTAATAACACTTGGTCCATAGTTGAATTGCCTAAGGGTAAGAAGCCTATTGGATGTAAATGGGTGTATAAAATTAAGTATAAGGCTGATAAGAGTGTAGAAAGATATAAGGCAAGGTTGGTAGTGAGAGGTGATACACAAGTTGAAGGAATTGACTTTCATGAAACATTTTCTCCGGTTGTCAAAATATGCACTATTAGGTGCTTAGTTGCTTTTGCCATTAAGAAAGGGTGGTCTTTGTATCAGTTAGATGTGAATAATGCCTTCCTTCATGAGGATTTAGATGAGGAGGTGTATATTAATCTTCCTCAAGGCCTCACAGTTGTTTCCTCTTCTCAATTTGCTTCTCTTTTGGTTTGTAAATTGCAAAAATCTCTTTACGATTTAAGGCAAGCCTCTAGGCAATGGTATGCCAAGTTGTCCCAAACACTTTGCACTAGGTCAGATTCCTTTACTGTATTTCTTGTTGTCTATGTGGACGACATTATTCTCACTGGGGTTGACCCTCACGAGATCACTGTCCTAAAAATGTTTTTAGATGATCAATTTAAAATCAAAGACTTAGGATTACTCAACTATTTTTTGGGAACTGAGCTATTGTATGTTGATTCTGGGGTGCTTCTTCATCAGAAGAAATTTTTTTTTGAACCAGTTGCTGAATATGGCTGTTCTGATGCTTTATTGTCTCTTCTCCACTTGAGCTATGTCTCAACTCAAATTTGATGTTGGGGACTTGCTGCCCAAGCCTGAACCCTACAGAAGTTTGGTTGGTAAATTGAATTTTGCTCACTCATACTAGACCAAATTTATACTTTGCCGTTCAAAACTTGAGTCAGTTCCTTAAATCACCTCATGTGCCACATATGGTTGCTGCTATACATGTTTTAAGGTATTTGAAAGGTACACATGATGTTGGGGTTTATCTCAATGATTCTTCTGACTTCTCTTCACAAGCTTTTTGTGACAGTGATTGGGATTCTTGCCCTGACTCGCGCAGATCAGTTTCTGGTTTTTATGTGTCTTTAGGGCGTAGTTTGATTAGTTGGAAATCAAAGAAACAAGCCGTAATCTCTTTGTCTTCTATTGAGTCAGAATATCGAGCCATGAGTAAAGTAGTGGCTGAGCTTGCATGGTTGGTTCGTTTGTTGGCAGATTTGAGTCTTCATCTGTCCAGTTCTATCCCCGTTTTTTGTGATAGTTTGGATGCCTCCACATTGCTACAAAACTTGTTTTCCATGAGGGCACAAAATATATTAAGGTTAGTTGCCACTTCATTCGCACAAAGTTGGCAGATGGTCTTATTTCCTTACATCATGTTCCTACATCTTCTCAACTTGCAGATATTTTTACCAAGTGTTTGACAGGTGGACAACACAGGTTGCTGCTTGGTAAGTTATGCGTGTCACCACCCTCCAACTTGGGGGGGGGGGGAGTGTTGGAGTTACTTGATTTGGGCTTTGTTCATAGTTGAGTTAGAATTAGGTGCTTGGCCCGTTGGCCCAGTTGTATTTATTAGCAGATACGATCCATTTTCTTTTTTTTGATTGGTTGTTGTATCTTTCATTCCAGCCCAATATAATTGAGGAGAATCAGATGTTTTTGTACACTTTCTACACAAGAGAATAATAAAAGAAAACTCTCTCGAAAGTTCTCTGTAAACATGAACCCTAAATACGATCTTCTTCATTTATGTTCAATCTGCAAATCTTAATATTTTTTTCATCGGCATCCCATAAAAAAGCACCATTGACTTCAATAACATAACCAGCATGTGAACCGTTCAATTCTTACACCGTCCTTCAACCATCAAAACCCCAAAATATAGCGCATTTATTGTGGCTTCTTATAAACCTCATAAATTCTTATTTTTTTTATATCATTCATGCAACCTTACTAAAAATAAATATTTTTTATATTTTTATTTTTTATGCCTAATTTGAGTCAAAAACAATATGTTAAGTGAATGCTCATCTGTTGATTTTGAAATTGGTACGACGATATCTAAACATAGTTGAAGGGATGGGTAGAGGGTTTAAAATTCTCATATAGCTCCTTATTGCCCCAACCTTGCGTGTAGACTTCTTGCTTCGCCAGTGATCACGCCCAACTCTAGTCCTAAAAAGGATAATGGGTCGCTGCAAATATAATCCGGCCTATAAGTCCGGAGTCGAATCCCACAGAGAACCAAGGCTTAGCTATATCTGTATAGTATCACTAAGAAGACAAGTTTGAACAATTTTCTAAATTATATAGATTGAGATTTATATTTCTAACTAACTAACTAGCAAATACTACAAAACCGTAAAATTATCAACTAACGAGACAAAGGGTTGGAGACTAAATTAAGGAGGTCTAGTATGATGTCCCCAATTGTCAGAATCCTTCTAGCTATGTTCCCTACAATTTTGCCAATGTATTCTCTACTGATCGTGAGTACTTTAGGTGCCGTAATTCTCTCTCAAGCAACTACAACAATTTACTAGACATATTCTCTCGAACTATGCTAGTTGGCTTCATCTAACCGCTCACTATGACCATGTCACGACTTTGTTATTTCTAAACCTACCTTTAACCCAATGTAATGATTTCTCACATAAGTTAGGAGTGACGTTGTTCAACAACTACCTAAATATGTACTCTCTCTCGAGCAGTACACACTAAATCGGCATAGTCAATTGATGGCCATTCAATCAACAACAACAAACACGTAGTTGAACAACTAGAGAAATCTAACAGCTTAATTATATAAAAATATAACGAGAATTCATCCTACAAAAGGTTCTATCAAAACTGTAGATAACAAATTAGCTATTCATAATAGTATGCAAAAATACAATACTAAAATTCATAACCAATAAAGGAAATAGGAAGAAGGAAGCGAAAAACTTGTGGAAGAATTCTCCGCCTTGCTCCCAGTGTGTTCTTGACTCCTTAGTCGAATCTCCGGTCTCCTTGGCCTCCTTAGGTCTAAATTATGTCAAAAGTGTGTCCAACCTCCTCAAAATACCATTTTTCCATGTATATATACCAAGTAGGGTCGGGCCCAAATAATTAAACTTTCTCCTACGCAAAAAATGACAATTTTTCAGGCCTGGACGCTCGCGGTCGCGGTCCGGGCGTGGTATTTTCCTAGTGCACTGCCTCAGTCCGCGTCCAGGTCTGTTGTCGCAGTTTCTACCGCGTTTTCCCCTGTTCCTTTTGGAAATTGGAAAAAAGTAAAACAGGAAAGTTGTAGCCCTTTGAGGTAGCTTTCCAACTATATATTGTGGAGACCAAATGGAGTTCTGAGCTAAAAGTTATGTGCATTTTACTAAATAGTGCGCAATATGCCTACTCGAGTCTTCGTTTGTTCTTAACTATCTAATTTACCCCCGAACACGATCCGGATTAATTCTTTGGGCTTTTACTCAGCCTTCAAAGCTTCAAATTACTAGAATTCATTCCATAACATCTATATAGCTCGGAATCACTCCTACAAGGCATAAAACACACAGTTAGTGCAAAACACTAGCTATTGAAGCTCAAACTCAATTAAAGTGCAGTAAATTAGAGTGTAATAAGCGACTAAAATACGCAATTATAGCCTATCATCAACACCCCACACTTAAACCATTACTCGTCCTCGAGTAATCAAACTACACTTTATATAGACACGGCCTTTTCTTTAAACAATTCTCCTAACTCATCACACCAAGAATATTTAAAATAGACTAAGCACAAAAGCGTAACATCTTCACCTCAAGATTTGACTCACAAGTACCACGCATTATTCACGACTCACCCACTTACTCTAACATAGAGGTCACTGACATTACCTTTCCTTCATGAATCAAGTGCCCTCACACAACAAAAGAGAGTAGTTCCACACAATAAAATTTAAGAACACTTAGGAACTCAAGATAGAAAGAATTCACTCACTCTCAGAAATAACATTCATATGCCACAAAAGATGCATCATAGTCTTGCCCGTAGTGTACTACTCTACTAATCGAGCTCATTCAGTCTAGGATCAAGTAGGACTTTATTTGGTTGTAATGTAGGATGCGAGACGGGTATGATAGATTCAGATATAAGAGTGACTACACCTCCCTAAGCACTTTAATGCATATACTTTACATTCAACCCCCATACTTATGTCAAACCAAAACTCCACCTTCACATCAATGTATATTACCCCATTCTTCTTTAAGCACACTTACATCAAAAGCCACCACTTATCAAGGAATATTTTTTTTTTTACAGGAATACAACTATTTTTTTCTTTTCTTTCTTTTTAAATTCAAGTGGCACTTACTTTTTCAAAATAATGCACCTTTCTCCTTATTTTATTAATTCCACTCAAAAGCCAAACCAACCACCCCACACTTTAACTTTTACACAGTTCATAACAATTCAGGTGCTCATGAGAGGTTAAAAGATTCAAATAGATGATTAATTCAAACAAATGGGTACGACTTGTAATGTGGTTGCCAAAGAAACAGGATTACAGGCTCAAAGGGGTTAACTACGTCACATAATAATTAGGCGGGTAAAATACATATATGGCTCAACAAAGAAACGCCTCTATCACTTCCAAGACTGAACAAAACTACTATTTCGCTTTGCAAACACACAGGGCAAGTTCTAAACATCAAATGCAATTCACATAATAACACACAAACCTCACACACACATGGCACTTAACTAACTCAGGATTGGATTCATCAAGACACTCTAGTCAAAGCAGTTAAGCAAAGTTAAGATCATACGATTTAAGGTACTTATACCAGAGCCAAAAAAATGAGCCTAAGCGCCACAACCAATGTACTCACTATTCTCAAGGCATAACAAAGTCAAGAGGTATTGCTTCAATTCAATTCATCTCACACTGGCTCCTGCTCCTAAAAAAAAACTAACTACACCCAGTTCAAATAAAACCCTTGTAAAAGAACCGCGACACAAAGAAAAACCAAGAGGGAATTACTACAGTACCTACAAAGAAAATCTTTTTATCCTTTTTACTTAGACTTAAATCCCTCAAGAAAATTTTCTAATAGATCCATCGTCGGGAAAAGTCCAATCTTTTTTTTCGTTTTTCTAAAAAAAAGTAAAAAAGAAATATTCAGTTAAACTAACACAATTAAAATAACATAGAAAGTCACCCAGATAATCTCCCCACCCCACACTTAAAATTGTGCATTGTCCCCAATGCGCACCATAACTAATAAAAAGGTAAAAGAGACTCCCTGGTAGGCCAAAGGTCGAAGCACTAGCAGCTCATGGGTACTCAGACTTCTCCTAATACCTCACACTTAGTTCCAACCATCTGGTTTGCTGTTGTATCCTTCCAATAGCTTTGCTTTCCATGCTCCCAGAAATTCAAAAAATTGACACTAAAAAAATAATACAATTAAAAAAAATAAAAAAATAAAAGAAAGTAGTAAATCACTTTTTGCCTCCACCTCGAGCTTATGAATTGAACCCCCAATTTGGCATCAAGTTTTCGGCTATGCTCCAGAGGTGGAGGAACAAATCTAATTGGCCCAAGCAACCATTGTACTATTCTACACTTCTTGGCTTTTAGATAAGGTATGTAGTCCTGTCTTTCTGGAAAGAAAAATTCCATAATGTAGGCACTTTGTTCTTCATTCCTTGACTTCTCAATCGGCTCGGATGACTCTACTTCCATATCGTCATCCAGGCACAATGTAGAAAAATATTTGGAGTGAGGACCAATGCGCTCA